CATGTGACAGTACAAACAGGAACAAGCTAAACTCCAAACCACAGATTCAAGCAGAAGCTACAAAAGCACTGAGATATTGTCTTTGTATTTTCCTGCACAGACACATGACAGGAGGACTCCGTGGCTGGTCGTACAAACCTACGGCAGCACGGCTCTACGTGGACATCCCCTGATGGGAAGCTGTGGCCTGGCTCGCCAGACTGAACCAGCCCAGTGGAAAACCCCTATTAATCACTTTAGCTTTTGTGCCATTTAACATGCACTGACCCAGGCAGCCAATGGTTCCATCCAGACCAATGTAGTTGAGGTCAGCCTTGGCGGCCTGCCGGTCTCGGGGATCCTCCTGGGTCCAGTCCCGCATTTTGAACACATTCTTCTGGCGGTACGCTGCGTTGGAGTCAAAGTTGATCTTGGCATCCATGCACATCACTGTTGACACATGACAGCTGGGTGTTAGTAGAAGAAGACTTCCAGGGTCCAGCTCATGTCCCAGACACTGTCTGCAGTGACATGCTGTGCAGCTACAAGACATTCTGGGTCATTCTTTCACCACCAGCTTAAGCCAAATCACAGCTGACTTAAATTTTCCATTTTAAATACTGTGGTCAAAGGCAGAGCTTAGGGTTTGGATCAGACCTGCAAAAGGTTTCAGCTTCATGCAGGATTACAACACAGAGTTTCAGACTCCTGGCTGTGATATGCAGGCTAGTGGGCAGTGGTAGGAAAGAACTACATACTCAAGTACTGTCCTCTACTGTGTGGACAGGTTTGAGATACCGTTCCACTGCACTTATCAGATAACCTCAAATACTTTGCAGATTCAGATTATAAATACGAAAGATGATCAACAATACATTAAGATGTACTATTATAGATTAAGATCAGACATGCACAAGCTACCCAGCAGTAATTAGAAGCAGCGTCACCTTCACCAGCAGCCACACACTTGCTTGAAAATACCAATTAACAGAAAGTTGCAAAATAAATTCTGCACTTTCAAACAGACCTTCTGTGGCAGATCCTTAACCTAATGGCTGGTTAGGTTAAGG